TGATTCTTAACTTGTAGATGCTCTTGCAATACATTGTTAAATATGAAGAACATTACCTTTGCCTCATTGAAGAAACGCATATTAAATTTTCCTTTGGAAATCATTTTGTTCTCGAACACCAATTTACCCTTTATTCTGTCTACACCTTCAGGAATCCACTTTAAATCACATCTCAATTTTATTTAATTCTAATGATTAATGATTGATGCACAAACACAACTTTACTGACTTTAAATCTACCTTTCCCTTCCAACGATCAAAATGAGTGTAATAGTACTTTTCTTTAGCATGTGTTCTACTATATTTGTTTCTTTAATTACTTTTGATCCCAATTTTCCATTCAAAATATAAAATATTAGTCATCAAGTCTAGACTTTTGTGTTCATCAATTCATTGAGCAAAGTAACTAATTTATTCTATTCATAATTGCTTCAAAGTCATGGATACTTTTTTCATTTTTTATAAGGTTATACCCTTATCAAGTTTGTCTATTTTCACCAACCAATGTTTTCAAACCCGAACCGGAGGTCAAACCATTTTGACTTTCGGTTTGTGGTTTGAACGGTTCAATTGGTTTAACCGGTAAAACCACCGGGTTATTTAAATACTATAAATATATGATTTTGCAAAAGATATCGCACGGTGTAGGTGGGTTGCACTGTAGATGGCTGATCTTCTATAAGAGAGATTTCGAGTTCGAGTCCCCCTGATAACAAATTTTAATATAATTGTGCTTTAAAAGTAGAATAAGTATATTGTAAAGCATTAAAATGACAGAAAAACATTGTGTTTAAGTGTTTGAATCTCAAGCTTGTAATCTGTAATATATTTAAAATCTTTGGGATTTATATGGGTTAAATAAAAGTCCAAGCACCCATTGACAAAAGGATTGCATTGTCCTGGTGGCAAAGGATCAACTTAAAGACTTTAAGGTTGCAATTTCAAATCCTGGCAGACACAAGTTTCTCAAAATTTTATGCCCAAGCATTGGACCGTCCGGTTGAACGGTTTGAGCAATTTCAAACGGTTTAACCATTCAAACGGTTCAAAAAGTGTAACCAAACCATTTAGATCATCGGATACCGGTTCAACCGGTCCGACCATCCGGTCGATCTAGTTTTCAAAACCTTGTCACCAACATGTTCTTTAAGTAAAGCATGTACATAAACACTTTGTTCTTTAAGTAAGCTTCCAATATGTCTGGACCTTTAGCCTTTGAGTTCAACTGATTCTTTGAGCAAATCATGCAATAGCTTTATTCCTTTGAATTTTATTTTTTATTGTCAATTTAAGGTTTTAGTTTAAGTAGTTGTTAATAACATAGAAAATGATTCTTAACGTGCAAATGCTCTTGCAATATATATGTTTTTTTTTTTTTTTTTTGTACTAACCCCTTATTATCTAAAAGCTATATTAGGTCTCGACTAATATATAATTGAATCACATTGAACCCTATAAGATAGGAAACTCTCCTCGCACCTATCTTTTTATTTACAAGATTCAAATTCAAGATTTTATTTAAAAGGAACCGAGTTTCTTCTACTTGAATCAACAAATCATTGGTCTTGCAATATGTTGTTGAATATGAACAACACTGCTTTTGTATCATTGAAGAAAGACCTATTAAATTTTCTTTAGGCAAATCACTTTATTTGTGAACACCAATTTACACTTCACTATGCCTACACATTTGGGAAATCACTTTATAATTTTTCTCAAAATCACATTTCAAATTTATTCAACGTTAATGAGTAATAAACAAGTGAAACATAACACAACACATCAACTTCACTAACTTTAAATCAGTGTTGGAAAGATGAGATGTCTTAGGTTGTAAGTTACAATAAATTTTAATTTCCCAAGGAAGCGCACGAGGAGTAACTTCTCACCAATTTACCATTCTGGGAGAGGGAGTATTACTTTAGTCCACATTTCCCTAAAAAATGACTTGGCTTTTAGTTTGTTGTCATTTAAACTAGAAAGTAAAAAGCCAATATCTTTATAATATACTCCCTTTTTTCCAAAATAATACCTACTTTTTTATTTAGAATTTATTTCAGAATAAAAATTATTTTTTTCATATTTTTAAGGAGATAAATATTTTTCTTAGTTTAACCTTGTTATTATCTCTTAACTTTAATTATCTATCTTATCATAAAAAGGTTTCTTTATTTTTATTTTCAATTGTAAAATAGATAAGAATAAAAATTTTCCCTACACCCTTAATCTAAAGATAAAATAAAAAAACATCTATTATTTCGAGACAAAGAGATTACTCTTCTTAAACAATTTGACAAAATCCAAAATGAGTAAGATTGATTCCTATGCACATAGGGGGATATTTGAACTCAATCTTATCATCAATCTCCTTTAACTATCTTAAAAAATATTCTATGGGTTTTTTTAATATGTGTCTTAAAGATATAGGTTAGAAGTGTATTAATTATACATTTTTACAATTAATTTACATAAAAAATTGATTTTAAATTTATTAACTACCTAATTAAAATCATCCACGTGATATAGATGTTTAAAATAATATATACTATCATATTTTTCTATAAAAATTTATTACAAAAAGTTACAACTAATATATCTCAAAGGACATAGGTTAAAAAAATCAATATTCTATTATCAGGACATAAATATAGGGTGAGAAAAGTCACTTGTCTCAAACTTCTAGCCCTTTAAAATAACCACAAACTTAGACTGAATTTATGATTAAATTATTCATTAGTCATTGTACTTACAATTTAAATTCATTTTGATCCATTAATTTTTATATGTTTATCTAAACTTTAGCACTTTGAATACTAAACCTTAAAAAATCTAAATTCTAACACATTGAACACCAAATCTTAAGAAAATGTAAACCCTAACATTTTGAATACTACATCCTAACAAATCTAAATCTTAGCTTTTTGAATACTAAACCTTTAAAAAAAATTAAATCTAGTAACTTTTTGAAATGAACTAAAGAAAAATGATTCGGACACCCTCTAATTTGATACATATGTCGACATTTAACTAGTTTAGTTATTAAAATATAATATAAGTGCAACAAATTCAATCGATTCACCCATTTTATATGTATAATTGTATTTTTAAGTTTTTCTATCTTTAATTTCATATAAAAAAAAATAATTTTTTAATAAATATATCATGGCAATGTGATGAAATGAAGGATATTTGTATCACTATCCTAAACTAAAACTTAAAAATCTAAGGGTGTGTTTGGTTTGGTTGATTTGATTAGCCTATAACATTAGTTTTTTAAAACAACTAGTTAGGGTATTTGAAAACAGACTAACCTATAAGCTAATTTTAAACTATAAAATAATAGAAATTAGATATTCATGTTCTATTAGTTATTAACTATTTTTAATAGTTAAACCAAACAAAGACATAACACCTTAAAACGTTACCAATGACCTGTTAGTTTGAGTGGAAGGAACTCGGTTCCTCTTAAGTAACGTCTCGCGTTCGAGCCTTGTGAATGGAGAAACAAGCGTTGGGAGAGTTTCCCCTCTAATAGCGTCTAACGCGGCTCAATTTTGGACTAGTCGAGACCCAATGTGATTACCAGATACCGGGAAGTTAATACCATAACACCTTAAAACATTAAATTTTAAAATAAAAATTTTAAGCCTTAATACTATAAAAATTTAATCCTAAAAAATATAAATTCTAACTGTTTGAGCATTGAACACTAAAAAAATCTAAACCTTAACACTTTAAACACTAGACTCCATAGACCAAAAAAGAAAACTAAACCCTAAGGACTAAACCTTAACACCTTAAATACTTCTCTCAAAATATAAACCCTAACACATGCTAAAACCTAACCTTGAAATCTAAATCCTAACAATATAAACATTTCATCCTAAAAAAATCTATACTTTAAACATTAAGATCATAAATATTATAACATTTTTTTAATATGTGTCATTCGGACACAAGTTAAGAGTGCATTAATTGCATCGTTCTCTTAATAATTGTTATGGAAAATATAACAGTTAACTTCAATTTTATTAAGACACAGATATAGACATTTATCTGGTTTAACAAATTGCACAACACACTTATTAAAAAATCATTATTTCTGGTTTGGAAGTAAATGTAGAAAAACTTAAAGATGTAGCCATACATACAATATGGGAAACTAGTTAAGCCAAATGCATCTATATTATACTTTAATGACTAAATTGGTTGGGTGTCGGCATGTGCGTTAAACTAGAGGAGTGTCTAAATCATTTCCCCTTTATCAATCACTCAATTAAAATTGTACACATATCATTGATGTTGAAAATGAAACAAGGTTTTATATTTTCATATGTAAATAAATGAAAATAATATACAATTAATGCACCATTAGTTTGTACCCTTAAATCACAAATTAGAAAAACCCATAGTACAAATAGATTAATTAAAATGAATTTAAACAACTAAGTACCCAAGGACCAATAAATATTTTAACCATAAAAAATAAAGGAAATGAAAGTATGGACGTTCATGAATGCGTCCTCAGCACCTCACCCTTAATAAAAGGGTGCATTATAGTAGTCAATTGACCATGTAAATGGTCAGTCCAGATTGATTTATCTTCCTTGCATGGATTTTAGAACACAATTTAAAGTTATAATTAACATATATTTTTATATTAATTAGTATTTTAAAAAATTGATATTTATTTAACTGAACAATTAAAACAATTCATTTAGTGGTGAAATTAAAATTGATTTTTGTATTTTTTATATAATTTAATAATATAAAAATATATAATTATAATATTATATCCTTAACCTATATTTTTTAAAAAAATACTTTAGTTAAAGGGAAAAAATAATTTATTTATAAATAGTATTTTTTTAAGAGATTATCAACTCTTCGAACCCAACCAAAAGGATTAGCAACTTAATTTAATAACAGGAAATAGTTGACGGGAAATTTTGTTGTTCAATTTTTTTTATATAACTTTACATGTCTTTAATTTAATGAATAATTTTTTTTTACTCTATTATGACTCATAATTATTTATGTATATATTTATAACGAGAGAGAGATGAGAGAGAGAGAGAGTGCTAGGGTTAGAGCAAGGTTTTCGACGGCCAAGGACAGTGGGGCTTGGAGGTGGCTTCTAGGGTTTGGTAAGGGGCTCTTAGAGCAGGCTACAACGTTCTTCTTCTATGATTTTCCAGAGGATCGTTTAGCGAAGGATTTGTGGTTCTGTTTTTGGTCATATGGGAAGGTGGTGGATGTGTTCATTCCCACAAGGCGTGATCGAAGAGGTCGTCAGTTTGGGTTTGTTCGTATGTCGAGTGCCTTTGATGTTAAGGACATGGAGAGGAGACTAAACCAGATCTGGCTGGACTCCTATTGTCTTAAAGTGAAGTTGGCAGAGAATATGAAAAAAGGGAAGGATGAGACCAGGGTGGCTCAAAACAGAAGGGAAGAGAAACAATGGGTTAGAAGGGATAGGAAGGTGAGTCCAAGGAGGTCTTATGCACAGGCTGTCGCTGCTAATCTGGGTGTAATTGTGGATGGCCTGTCCTCAAACAATGGGGTTAGACAATTGATGGCAATGAGAGGGATGGAGGAAATCGTGGATGCGGTTCCACTGGAGGGTTTATCGTTGAAGGCTTCTGCAGTGGTGCCTAAAACAACTCCAGAAAAGATTACTGTGCCATTGATAACAGAGGGGGTAGCTGGGGCAACGTCTCCTATGCACGGTGATTTGGTTTTAGAATTCAATCCTAGAGATGAGGAAGTGGCATGGTTGAACAGAAGTATGGTGGCTGTGGTTCGATCTCTAGATATGGTGAGACAAATTTAGCATAGGATGGATGTTGACGGTTTAATGGTGAATGTTGCACTGTTAGGGGGTAGACAGATCATTTTGGTAGATAATTCAGAAGGATGTCTTGTGGAGTTTATAGAAAATAATAAGGAGCTAACATAGTTATGGTTCGAATGGGTGCAACCAACATCTTTATCAACGGTTTCATCAGCAAGTCGATTGGCTTGGCTGCGATTTACTAGTGTTCCTTTACAGTCATGGAGTGAAAGATGCTTTGCTGAGTTAGGGGGACTAATTGGCGAGGTTCTACTCGTGGATGAGGACACGAAGAGCAAATCATTTTTATGTGAAGGATGAGTTCTAATTCTGTGTGAAGCACGGGGCAAAATCTCTGCAACAATTCCTTTGAAGGTCGGAAGCAAAGCTTATCCGATTGAAGTGGCAGAAGAGGAGTGGAGGATGGACCCCGATTGGTGGCTGGCCGGCGAACGGCGGAATCCAATCTCTGAATCAAATTTCAAATATTCGAGTGATGATGGCAGTGAATCTGACTTGATTGCTACCGGATTTCGCGGCGAAGATGAAGCACTGAAAGCCGATCTTCAAGTTGTAACAGGAAGTGAGTCTTTTGAAAATTTTGAAATTAATGGGATGGAGATATGTGGGCTGGATGGGGCAGACTTAGTTGGGCCAGAGGGGGAAGACTTATTTGGGCCGGAGGGGGTAGATTTAGTTGGGCTGGCAGCAATGAAGAATGGTGAACAACGAGCTGCAGGTGGGTCTTGTAGTGGGCTTATGGCAAGTGATGACTTGCTTCAGCAACAAGAGGTAAAACAAAAAAAGAAGACCAGAGCTTTGGGGGCCATATATGCGGAGGATGAGGGAATCGGGGCTATAGTGGATGGGAAGGAGAAATTAAGGGCAGTGGAGGCGAGTTGGGTAACAGCAAGAACAAAAAGTATGAGGGATCGAAGAAGCAAGGCAAGCCGAGAGGAATCAAGGTTGGAGGTGCAGACGGTGAGTTGCTCTTTGTCCGATGGGTGTATCCAAAATCGAAATCGCGTGATTCGTTAGCAGATTCAGTTGGATGAAGTTCAAAGCTGTTCATGTTGGAGCAAAGATTAGGGGTTAAGTGTCAACAAAATGAGGAAGAGGTGATGTCCAGGTTGGCTACGCTGGAAGAGGGAGAAGAGGCCAATTTCAAGGTGACATAACATGGTGGATCTGTATTGCCAAAGGTTGGTGAGGTATGAAGTTTAATTATGAAGGTTATTTCATTTAATGTTAGGGGTTTGGGTAGTGTGGTGAAGAGAAAAGAGATTTCTAAGTTAGTAAGAAAGGAGAATCCAGATTTCTTGTTTATTCAAGAAACAAAGCTTGAAAAAATTGAGATTTCTGTGTGTCGATTGGTGTGGAACTCAAATGATTTTGATTGGGTGATGCAAAAATCAAACGGTAATTCGGGTGGTTTGTTGTGTATATGGAATAAGAGGAATTTTGTAAAATGAAGTGTAGTTGAAGGTCATGGTTTCATTGGGATTTCGGCGGAGTGGGGTAAGCAACAGCTTCAATGTACTTTTGTTAATGTGTATGCACCTTGTGAAAGGCAAAGCAGAGTTGTGTTGTGGGGGGAATTGAGCAAATTAGTATTGGAAGAGGGTGGGAGATGGCTTTTGGCAGGGGATTTCAATGCTATTCGTAATAGTGTAGAGAGAGAAAGGAAGGATGGGTGAGACTCAGGACATGGAAGAATTTAATTATTTTGTGCAAGGGACTGGGCTGGTAGATGTTCGATTAAGGAACAGAAAGTTTACATGGTACAGACCTGATGGAACTTCAATGAGTAGACTTGATAGGTTCTTGCTATCCATTGAAATGAGCTTAATAGAGGGAGATTGGATTCAAGAGGTCATTCGAAGGTCAATCTCATATCATTGTGCAATTATTTTGAAATCAAGAAGTGTTGATTGGGGTCCCAAGCCCTTTTGGGTACTTGATGTATGGCAACAACATAATGATTTTAGAAAGTTTATAGACGAAAGATGGAAGACTATGCAGATTGAAGGATGGGCGGCTTACAAGTGCAAATAGAAGTTGAAATTGTTAAAAGAGGAATGCAAAAAGGGGGAATGACAGGTTGTTTGGCAATGTGAAGATCCGATCTGACAACTTGAGAAAGGAGATTGAGAGGCTGGATAAAAAATGTGAAGTGGAAGGGTTGAATGAGATCGAGGTGAAGCTACGAAAGGAGTCTTTTCAAGAGCTGTGGGATACATTACAGAAGCGGGAATCAGTGTGGAAACAAAAATCACGAGTTAATTGGGCTCATCTTGGGGATGCAAATACAGCATTCTTTCATAGGAGTGTGCACGCTCGGAGGGCTCAAAATGCAATTTCAAGTATCTACAGTGACGAAGGTTGGGTTGAGGAACCTGAGCTTGTTAAGGCGACGGCAGTGAAGTACTTCTCCAAGGTATTTCAGAATGAACAGTGGTGTTGACCGACAATGGATGGGATTCAATTCCGAAGAATTTCATATGCATAACGAGACTGGCTAAAAAGACCTTTCACCATAGAGGAAATTGAAGAAGGGCTAAATGATTGTGATGGCTCCAAGGCTTCAGGTCCAGATGGTTTTAATTTTAATTTTATAAAGTTTTCTTGGAGTACTGTGAAGGAAGACTTTGTGAATTTTTTGATGGACTTTCACCACAACGGGAGGTTAGTTAACAGTTTAAACTCTTCATTTTTGGCATTAATCCCTAAAAAATTGAATCCTGAGCAATTTAAGGAGTATAGGCCTATTAGCTTGATAGGTTGTCTGTATAAATTATTGGCCAAGGTATTGGTCAAGGTATTGGCCAATCGGTTGAAGATGATAATGGAGGGTATTATCAGTGAGTCGCAGGCAGCTTTTATTGGAGGTCGGCAATTGGTTGACAGTGTGTTAGTTTTGAATGAGGCCATGCATGAGGTGAAATGGAGGAAACAAGAGAGTTTCATTCTAAAAGTGGACTTTGAGAAAGCCTACAATTGTGTGGACTAGGGCTTTCTTGATTGGATGATGAATAGAATGGGGTTTGGGATGAAGTGGAGGAAGTGGATGTGGGAGTGTCTTTCAACTACTAGAATTTCCATTTTAATAAATGGAAGCCCGACAACTGAGTTTCCAGTTAGCAATGGTCTTCGCCAAGGTGATCCTTTGTCACCTTTTTTGTTTTTGTTAGTTGCTGAAGGTTTGAGTGGGCTTGTTAAAAAAGCGGAGGCTGAAGGACTCTTGAAGGGTGTGGAGATTAGAAGGGGAGGTATGATGTTATCGCTATTACAGTTTGCGGATGACACTGTGTTTATGGGGAAGGCTGATGTTGATAATTTACGAGTTGTGAAGGCTATTCTGAATTGGTTTCAATTGATCTCAGGGTTGAAGATTAACTTTGGGAAGAGCTATTTGTATGGCTTTAATGTGTCGGAAGGATGGGAAAAAGGTGCAGTTGATATCATGCGTTGTGGGGTGGG